TCTCCTACTGCTAAATTTAGAGACTTTGATGATGTGTGGCTGGAACTGGAACTGGAAAGTGCTAACTATGTAAGTGCAAACTGGCTGCCGCACTTGCCCACAAAATACACAGTCACTACGCTTCACAGTACATCCTGTGAAACGTTTCAAGACGTCCTCCTGCCGTGAAAGGCAACATACCAAGTGGTGTAGTATTATTGTAAAATGTATGGTATAAAAAATATTATTAATATTTACTGAAGGCTTCTGCCAGTTTCACTGGTGCCATGTATTCTCAGCTGGATGTTCTTGTTCAGGAATAAACAAATATCAAGTTTGATAAAGTCACCTGTACATGCGAGTGGTGATTAAAATCTGAGCGTGTCTGTCTGTCACACAATGCGGTAAAGCACACGGGAGAACAATATAAATCTCACCGCTCTGTGTCGAAAATGCAGGTTTGTAAGTTCATCTTGAAAGAGAGAGGATCAAACAGAGCAAAAGATGCTCGTGACACCGTTAAATTCAGCCGGTGTGAACTGCACCAAGTGTCATCAACACCAACATCAAATTGCGCTTGTATAGCCCTCTTCACGTCGGAAACACGTCCCAGGGCGCTGGACAGTCAGGGTTTTTTTTGGACCCGAGCTGGGAGTTGGGGTCAGGAGGGGTGGAGGGCAGGGAGGGTGGGGGTGGGACGGTGGCCAAAGGCACGGTCGAAGAGGAAGGTCTTTAGACGGGGCTTGAAGGAGGCAAGAGAGGAGACGAGGCGGAGGGTTTGCAGGATAGAGTTTCAGTGTGGGAGCGGAGATGCTGAATGCATGGTTGGGCGGGAAGTGCGGGGGAGCTGAAGCGGGCCAGTGTCCGGCGAGCAGAGCGAGCGGACGGGCTGCCATGGGGTTAGGAGGTCGGAGAAGTAGGGGGGAGCAAGACCATGATTTCAATCAGTTCTGGCCATTCTCCACATGGCACAATGGAGTAGATTTTTTCCCAGTCTTGATTCTCAGGCAGTATAGGCACAGCTTTCTGTTCCAAATCATTACACTGTCAAGAGCGAAACACGATAAGCAATCTGAATTACCGCAACACAAGTGATCTTATTTACTGATTCTACAACCAGATGAGTCGATAACGAACAAGATTAAATTGGTGAAAACTGGTGTAAGTATCAACTACCTCCAAGAATTGTTCCAAGTGTGGAAAGTCTGTTTGCAACCATCAGACACGTTTAAACTGAGCACTTCCCGTATCAACACATCCCACAAAACTTATGTGGGTGGTAGCTGCAACCTATTAAATATTGCTATTGTATGACTTAGGCTCAGGAGATGCCTGAAACCACCACCGACAAGAAATTGCTTTTATATAGTGGCTTTCACGTCAAGAGAGCATCCCAGGGTTTGCACCTGAGCTGGGGGTTGGATTCGGGGTTAGGGGGGCTGGGGTAGGGGATTGGACACCAAGGGGGTGAAGGAAAGATGACCAACCTGGTAATGGTATAACAACAACGCCTGTAGTCTAACACCGAGACGTTCCAAAAAGCGACACCATCGCCCAATTCTGCACGATAACTGTAGGTGTCGGCTTTGCTTGGTTTGTGTCTCTCTTAAGCTCTGTGTCAGAAGATTGTGGGTTCAGGCCCCACAACTGGCTTGAGCTCACAGTATAGAGTGACATTCCAGTGCAGTGCTGGGGGGACCCTGCACTGTCGAAAGAGGCATTAAACCCGAGTTCCCGTCTGCCTGTTCAGGTGGATGTTAAAGATCCCATGTCACTATTTGAAAGGGGAAGGGAGATTTTCTCAGTCTCTTCACCAACAATCTTCAACAAAAACTGATCATTCACTGCATGGCTATATGTGGGACTTTGATAGTCCAAAATAGCTGCTGGTCTTTGCCTACAAAAAACCTGACAGTAATTACTGTTCAGCATTTTGATATAATAACAGTGTTTGAAAAGTCAAGTTCTTTCTTGTAATATCTCAATCTGAAGGAGTGAGAGGAGGTTGACAACGTGTTTGATTTTAAAACTGTTCTATAATCTTTCCTAATCTCCTGTACTATTATTACTGGGTTTTCAAGTAGCATTTAGAGACATCAGTCATAAACTATACTCACAGTGAAGATTCAAAGTAAACAATACAAACAATACCACCACTACATGCTCAATCACAGCGGCAATCTGGAGCTTCCATCAACTTGCTCCTGTTCATTGGTTCAATCCCAAACCACTTTAGCTTTGCGGGAGGAATTCCTTTAAGTTCTTGAAATGACTTGCAGAAAAACGGCTTCAGTACTCAGACTGTATTTCGGAATTTGCCAAATTTTGAATGCTCTGAAATATCGAAACAATAGAGCAAATCTCGACCCAGACTGAGTTTCTCCCCCATTTTCGTACCCTTCTCTTTACGTGCAAAGCTTCAACTCTCATATGTACGTACAAATTCTATTCACTGTCACAACTTGCATACATATAGCCCCCTCCACACCGGCACCATATAAATTACTTACACGCTACGCAGTGAGACGTGACTGTAAAGGGAAATGCCATTAAAGGCCCACATCGGCAAGGTTACGCCTAACACTGAACAAAATTGTGATACATGATCCATCTGGGCTCAGCATTTTTAATTCCTGTGGGTAGATTGAGTGGAGCTAGCCAAACTTTTGCACTATATGTAGATCAGCAAAAAGGGACCCTGTGCAAGTTCACACACAGAAACAATCTAACCCACAGTTGGATCTAAAACGTGATACAACAGGAGCTGCAAATAGCTGGAAGGGTCTCTTCTCACCCCGATCCATGAGGGCTCCAATGCAATCTAGTTCTGGAATGATGTTCCAGAACACATACCATTCCCAATCAGCGTGATACACTCAGATTCATGGGCCAACTACACTGTTTGCATCTCCATATTCCAAGTAGTATGCGTGAGTTCCTAATATGCCACACTGAAAGGTGATGTGGCAGTCAGAACTGGAGGAGCCAGAGAATTAGCCAAGGGATTGGAGGAAGGAGGCTGAGATTCAAGTATGTTTCCAGGATAGACTAAGGCATGTTTAAATGGTGCCTGTGTGAAATGCACCAAGTTGGGTCTTGTTTACTGTGACCCAGGTACACAGTCAACGACAGGCCACCAGAAACTGTACTCACAGCGAAGATCTGAAGAAGATGGGAAACTGCAAACAGTACAATCTCTGCGTGTTTAATCACAGCTGCAATCCAGAGCTTCCATCAACCTGCTCCTGCTCATTGGAACACTCCCAAACCACTTTTAACTTTCCGAAAGAAATTCCTTTAAGCTCTTCAAATAACTTACAGAAAAATAGCTTCAGAATTACAAAAAAAAAAGCACTTTCACGTCAAGTGGATATTTGAAAGTGTTCCGAGAGAATGGGGGGGGGGGGCAGAATGGCTAAAAGCTGTGACAGGCTAACAGCAAAGAGCAAATTATCGCTTAAGCTGATGTGAAGTGTCTCCTCTGGTTGTGTCCATGCCTGACAGACATCCAGCTTCTCACGCACCACTAAACAGCAGATTTTTTGCACAAGGGTTGTTGAGTTGTTCCATTTTGCAGAAGTATTTACTAATGCGCCTCTTCCAACGCCTAACAATGCTTTTTCAATGAACGCAGGCATCTAGAATCACAGCGTCCTCGTCTGTACATTTCCTTTCATATCGGTAATTCCAGACATCTGCGTGCACACTGTGCATTGGATGGCTTGTGAATGAGCAGAGCTAAGGAGAGACGCTTTCTTTCTCTCACTATCCCCTACCTTCCCCTCCCAACCCCCTCCACCGCCCTCACTCCCCACCGCTCAGAAAAGAAAATGCTTTTTTGTTTCTCCGAGGGTGAAATCCAACTAATGCGTTGTACCTACTATCTCAGTCACAGCTGGTAGTGTCAACTGAATAACTTCATTCCAATTCCCAGCTGGCTCGACAGAATGTGGCTTGAGCGGCTCTTCGGTTCTCGGCTGGTAGAGCAAACCATGCCGATTTACACGTTTACTACAATACCCTAAGTGTAGTTGTTGAAAGCCGGCTGTAGAGCAGATGCTAAAACAGCTGAACAGCGAAGATCCTGATGCGGGAGGTAAAATGCCAGAAGACCGGGTCAGTCTATTTCACATTCTGATTCCCGTTGTGTACTGAGAGATCAGCTCCCGGCAGAAACCCTATTGTCCTCAGTGCGAAGTTGCTTTTCTCTCCTCAGGCACCAATAATTAAAATACACAAGAGCAGCGATTTTTGTCGCAGGATGATGCAGATAAAAAAGATCTGAAGCCGGACTTTTCTCCTCCCGACACATTTCACGGAGTGTTCACCTGCAGTATCAGCAATACTGCCTTTTTCCTCTTTGATTTTGTGTACTGTGTTGCGAGTGGGATTTTTTTTTTAAATGACTGTTTTAAAAAATTACCACGAAAACAAGCAACAGCAAACGATTGCTCAGTAACCTGAATAACTGTTGCCTTTTTATCATACTTTGAACCGTATAAGTCCGTGGGATTTTTTTGTGTGGCACACACACACACACACACACACACTCGCGCGCGCAATGGACGACGACAGGACTGCCCCCCAAAAAGAACAAATAATCCAACACTACACTTCTCAATTAATTTTTTACCTTAAGAGTTGACTAATTCCTTCTTGAATTTGCGAACACAACCTGCCTCCATCGGCTCCCCATTCCACACATTCACCACTGTCTTGTGCAATGCAATGAAATCTGAACTGTCTGCTCACCTTGCCTATTGTGAGCTCGAGTCTGTGTCCCCCGGCTTCTGTATTTCCGGACATAGAATCACAGAAATTTATGGCTCAGAAGGAGACCATTTGGCCCGGCAATGGGCCGACGCAAGGGTTATTATTATAAAGTCTGCACCGGTTCTCAGAGCAAGCTGTTCATTCGGTGTCACTGCTTTTCTGCAGTCCTGCGAGGAGTCAACTGAGCTGCTCGATAAATTGCATTCACGAGTCCAGTGCTGAGCTGGAAAGCAAGCTGCAATATTTACCTGCAAAGTTGGGCACTGTAACTTTATTCCACTCCCATGGTTGGTCGTATTCCTCCGCAGGTCTGTCGTCGTTTTGCGGTAACCTGCTTTCCCGTAGCGGATGATTGGTAACGCTCTCTGTGTCAGAGTCAACACCGTTCACTTCAGGTTCATAAGGTGTGTCATACAGTTGGATTCCTTTCTTCTGGCTCTCTTGCCTGTGTATCTCTGTGAAAAGAGAAACATACTTGTTAACGTCGTGCAAAAGAGACAGACGGACAAAATTTTAAGATAGATCTGTGCGACCAGCATGTTTTGGGATGAAGTAGACGTGGACCAGTTCACCAGGCAGGAACTACAGCAATAACAGAAACACGGACAAGGAGAAAGAAAAGTTATTAAACCTCATTCGCACAAAAAGAAAATGTCCTCCCTCAAATGTATTTTACTCCCCTCGCTTCTCCACTCCTGACATAGTTGGACGATGGGGTTCAATTTAAGCCGGCGACAAATGACTGTCGAGCATGTCTTCACTTGATGTCCACCCACGGGTTCATTTTTCCAGCAAGAGCCAATATGATAATGATCACTAGCTTGTTTTTCCACGCCTAGAACAGTGAGACCAACTCAGCACAAATGGCAATAAACCCTTGGGTCGGCCTGGTCTGTGTAGCTTTTCTTTTATGCCTATTTTGCCTCTTCTACACTCTTCCTCCACTGAAGGCAGAGATTCTTCCTAAGGTACGTATTTGCATTACGGTTGTTGAGTCATACAGTGACACATCACCCAAATGATCATCCTTTACGTGTGAGCCAAGGCACTGAGTGTTGGCAAGCTATTCCGACTGTGAGGAGCATCCCACACAAGCTCAAACCTGTCCACTTCTGATGTTTCACCCACAAATTATACAGTCAATGCACTTTACGGTATATTCTGTGAAGCTCTTTGAGACATCTCGAAGATGTGATAAGGTGCCTATATCAAAAGCAAGGATTATTATTATTATATACGTTCACACATACATTTCCAGCCAATTTCCATTTCTTAGCCCAGAGACACGATAGTTGATTGTAGCTCCTCAACTACAATCGAATAATGAAGACTGGGATGGATTCAAACCATCTGCTCCGTTTGATTCAGTAGTCTTACGTGTAAGAGAGGGAGTGCCCTTAACCTAGAGGGCCATGAAAATTATGGTTCAGTGCCACCATTGGAGGTCGCGCACTCAGTTACTACACCTCGAAACGTGGAACACTCCCTCAATCCCTCCGCCTTGCCTCCTTTCTCCCCTTTATCAAGTCCTGCCTGAAAACCTTCCTCTTTGACTGTGCTTACGGTCACCTCTTCTCCCCCCACCCCCCACCAGTTCGGAGTCAGGCTCTACCACTGTTAAGTGCTCTGAGACACTACCTTGCTTGTGGGCGCTATATAAGTGCAAGTTGTTGCTGTTGAACTTGTCAACTAATCCATCCGGGAGGTCTGTGGACTGCAAAAATATATTAATGTGGCATTGTAACACAAATTATATAGGTGAAATAATAATAATAACAATTCTTGCATTCGATATAGCACCTTATCACGTCTTCGAGACGTCTCAAAGCGCTACACAGAATATACTGTAAAGTGAATTGACTGTATATTTTGTGGACGAAACGCAGCAGCCAACTGCGCACAGCAGCGTCCCCACAAACGAAGGCATTATTGCCACTGGAAAAGTGATCCGCCAATTGACTAATAACTGGGATCCTGCTTACTGTTAGGTGAACAGAGACATATGGAGTGAGGAAACTTGCCCAATGTTTCACCCTACCGGGAATCGAACCCAGTTCCTCTCACTTGCAAGGTGAGTGCTCTAACCACTGAGCTACAGGACTCCATGTAAGCAAATAAGCAAAGGAACATTTTATACACTGTTGATAGAGATCCAACAAATCAAACAAGTGCCAACAAGAAGCAAATTCACAAGTAAGAAGTTTTAATCGACCGACATCAGAGAAGTCTTGAATAATTCACCACCAACGGACTTGTTCTGTACAAGATACATTTTTCACAACGGATGACAAAGGCAGAGGGGTTGTTCAAAGATCAGGGAGAAGTTTTTTTTTGGCACAGTCTCTTAACCAATAATAATACTTGCGTTTTATATAATGCCTAACCACATCAAAATGGCTCAGAGCAATATCTTTGCGTTGCAAACCTTTGTTGGCAAACGAGGCAGCCACACTGCACAGCAATATCCCATAAACAGCCGTGAGGTTTACAAAGATTTACAAAGAATGTATCGTACAGAAACAGGCCACTCTGTGCAACCAGTCCGTGCCGGTGTTTATACTCCAAATGAGTTTCCACTCTTAATCCCTCCCACATCTTTTCTCTTTGACCGTGCCTTCAGCTCCCCTCTCGACTCTCTTCCCCCTCCTCACTCCCTCCCTTCCCTCCCCTCACCCTGACCATTTCCCCCCTCCTCGCTCCCTCCCTTCCCTCCCCTCACCCTGACCATTTCCCCCCAATGCTCGGGTCATGACCCAACTGTACAGCGCCTTGGGACGTCCTCCTGACGTGAAAGGCGCTTTATAAATGGAATCTTGTTGTTGTTGTTGTTGTTTCAAGCGCTTCAAGACGCTACCCCATGTGAAGGACGCTATATAAATGCAAGTTGTTGTTGTTCCATTCCCCTCTCCATCACGTGAAGGTCTCGGTGAACGAGCAATTTATTTACCTGAGAGATTGGTGGTCAAGACACGAGGAGAAAATCTCTTCGCATTTCAGATTGTGTTACGGGATCTTTAACATCTACATAAACTGGTCCTCAGTTTAACATCTCATTCTCTGACAGTGTAGAGCTGCCACACCCCAGTGTCACCCTAGATCGTGAGTTCAACCGACCTGGGGGTGAAACCCAAAACCTTTTGACTGAGAGAAGACAGTGCTGTCAACCAAGCCAGGCTGAATGACCTATTAGGAATTACCTCGGCAAAAAGTACCAAAGAACCTTAGAATTTTACCGCAATTTGCAAACGTGTAGCATCTGCCATGTAGGAAAATGTCTAAATTAATTTACAAAAACAGAGTGGGAGCTTGAGCTGAGCGGTGCGTACAACGTAAGGGGTAAGTAGCCAAGGATCGGTTGAAGGGTTGAAAACAGAGAAGGAGGAAGTTCCAGAGAGCAGAGGCAAATTGTCTAAAAATTCACTGTTGATGATGGAGCTGAGGATATAAAGTAGGCCAGGGTGAGCTCGTGGAAGGAGTGGACAAGGGGAGTAGAATCGCAGGACATTGCAGAAGCACGGGTCAAGCCTCTGGAGGCATTTGAAGTTAAGGATAAGGATCTCACACAAGGTAATCCACTGGGTGATCCAAATAAGGAAGGGCTTGTGAACTTTGTGAGGACGATAGTACAGGCTTCAGAGTTCTGCATGATCCAGAGGTTATGGAAGGTAGAGGTGCGGAGGCTGGCAAAAGGAGAAGGAAGGTATTCATAGGGACTCCAGCTGAGCTGGGTGAGGAAGTGACAGAGACGGGTGATTTTGTGCAGATGGAGAAAAAGCTTAGTCAGAGCCCGAACGAAAGGTTTAAAAGAGAGTCGAGGATTAAAAAAATGCTGAGACACCAATTGGCTAAAGTCCTGATGAGGAGCTTCTGACTCTGAGACAGGGTTGCTACAAACTGAGCCAATCCAACATGACACGTTAGGAATTACCTCAGCAAAAAGTGCCTGAGCTAGGCTGATAACTAACTAATGGCTATACAGATTGAGGATGAACCTTTTCCTTATATATACTGCATTGTGCTCCTAGTTATAAAACCTAGGATTGCATTAGCGTCTTTACAGGTTTGTCAACTTACCTTCTCACCTTTTAGGATTTGTCTATCTTAACCCTTCAGTCCCTCCGCTCTTTTGAAGGTACAACAGGACGACTTGCTGTCATTCTGTGAAAACCGTACACAGCCACTCTCTCTAGAGTTGTGCCTGCTTCCAGCGGGTGTTTTAAAACCAGTCACTGCAGATTTATCGGGTTTGTATTTCTTAACAAAAAAGAAACACACATATTGCTAATTTTCAAGGCATATCTTTCTGGCTCTGCTCCAAATCTGTCAGGACCTCATTGCCCTGCTTTGAAAGACTTAACATACCCTTTGGTGTGCACAGCCCGTCATAAAGCAATCCCCTTTGAGAGATGCGTAATGTTCCTGTGGACCTGAACAAAAAGACCACCCAGCCACATTAAATGCAAAACACAAAGGATTCTACCAGGCCCTGATATTGCTTGTAAATCTTTCGGTATAAAATCAGAACGAAAAGTTCACTAATGCTCACAATTAACTCCTTTCTCCTCGATTAGGGGCACAGAATCACATTTAGCCACAACTCTGTACGTCATCAGCCCTTCAGCACGCCAGTCCCACCAACCACACCTCGTTCAGAATCATGGCAATATTTTACACAGTGCAGCTTTTGCCAAAAGATGTTGAGGAAATTTATAGGTATCATTGTGTTTTCTACACACATTCCTCGGTAGTGTTGAACTCTCCACCTCCCAGAATCAGCCGCCCCACTCTTGGCACTCACTCAAAAAGCTCCACTACCTGTCAATGTAATCGCGTCAGCTGCCAATCTTCACATTAACTTCAACACTTGTATGAACTAGCATTCTGTGTGTCTCAAAGAGTGCGATACGTAAAAGGTAATCACTGCTTTACCGGCTTAATAACTCATTAAGCGAGTTGCGTGTTGTGATGTGCATTTTCGACGCTGGAACCAAACCAGCCTTTGCTAAAAACCCATCTTTCAGCACAACGTGAGAGACTTTAAGTGTAAGTTTCAAAGGCGTCCGAGAAAGTGGCAATCACCACGAGATCACACCACAGCTACAGTGCGGGTTGTTTGCTGAAATAAATTTAGACCTTTAAAGCCAGCCTCCTCATTGGTAACGCAGCATCACCATCGCACAGCAAGTTAGACCTTAAGACAGGCAGTACCGGAGATGCTGATGTGACGAAATCACTCGAGTGTCAATCCTAAATTAAAATGTTTCGTTGATTTACAAGAAGCACCATACAGAAGGCAGAGTATTTTGGATGTGGGTTCATGCTGAAAAATCCCTAAACAAAAAGGATTGTAGAACCTAGGGCTTATTCCAACCTGACTATTACAACTGTAACGTCCAGTGTAGTACATTATAAATAAAACTCCTTATACAATAGGCAGAAATTTCATTACATTGTG